GGAGGTAAGTAGGGTAAAGACATTAAGAAGCAAGTGAAGGTGTCAAGGGATGCTGGTAGACCATTCCAGTCAGGGTCACTTCCTTTCTATGGGGTATGTGCATCAATCTGGACTCCTGTTACACTCTGCATGCCAGCATTTCTAGGATGTGGCTTCCTGTGTATGGTTGCACATTTTTGTTTACATACCCCAGCTTTTGGATTCCTACTGCACGTAGGAGGAAGCTCTAGGAGTTTTGCTTAATTCAGCGTTGCTCAGCTTTTTTAATTACTTTATTGGTAAAGGTTGCTTGAATGTGTGCCAGTATAATCATGTGGCTTTTTCCCCTTTTAAAGTGGAAACAAGAATAAGATGACTGCTCACCGTAAACAGTGTAAATATGTTGTGTGCCATCTTGTCTGCCACATATGCCTGAATAGTTATAGTAAAATCCATGAAGACCATAGAAACTCAGTCTCTGTTAAATGCAGATGTGAGAATTTAATATCTTATTGTCACAGGAGCCTGTAGCAGGGAAGCAAGCTGCTGTAGGAGAAAGGGTGTTGTGAGCAGATGGTGTAGACATGCAGCTGAAGAGTCAAAGTAAAGGCAGGGAATGGAGGATAATGCGGTAGGGTGGGTGACACAGTGGTCTTAGAGCCATGGTCAGGATATGGATGGTGTTCAGTAGGTAGAAGCTGTGGTGATTAGTGGCTTACTGGACAGAAGACCTCTGAGAGCTGGGAAGTGGGTAAGAGAACAAAGTGAATGGGTACTTCATTGTGTGATGGGAGATTAATGTTTTAATGAGCATAGATTGTTGGATAACCTATTTCTTAAATAGAAAGAGGATGTTAGTCTTAGCTCTGTGCTTTGCTGTACTCTAGTGGAAAGCTGGAGCTTTCAAAGTTAATATAATTGCAAGTTTCCACTATAAACTTTTTTTATTTCCCTTTATGCTTGTCTAGCAAAACTATTTTTTATATTGGAATTCCTAGGCTATCTCAAAAGAAAACCACTTTTCTACTGTGTTTCTGTAAATAAATATGATGGTTGTAAGCAGGCTAAGGATCATTGAATCAGTGTAGATTTAAAATTGTCTTGTGAGCTGTTCATAGCTTTGTGCTACACTGACGCAATTGCTGTCAGATAAAAACACTCACTACATTTTAAGTCTTCCCCACCACCATTGCTATCAACTTTAATGAAAATAAGTATTTCACTCAGTTAGGATGTTTATAAAATTAGCAGAGGCTTGTAGGAAGAGAGAAAAATATTTGGTGTTGTATTGCTGGGAGTATTGATGTTGTTTGAGAACATCAAACAGTGAAATGACTGGCGCCTGTTAGTAGTGATCTTTGTTCTTTAACTATTTTGAGACTGCTAGCTGTTTGGAACATAACAAAAACAGTGTTAAAAGTCAAACTGAATCCTTATTGTCTTCAGTACTCTTTAACCAGCAGTGGCCAGGGACTAACATGCACAGAAAGACTTCCAGTGCATGCTGTGTACTTCTGTGAAAATTGTGTACTGTGAAAATTGTACCCAGATTGTGTACTGCTTACAGAATCCATTTAGAAGTTTTCTTCTAATAACTTCCATCTTCCTGTGAAAACAGTCTAATTCTTATGTAGACAAGAAATTGGCCTTTGACAGGTTAAAAAAAGATAATTTCAGTTGCCACCCTCTATTTCTTGTCTGGAAAAAGGAGAAGTAATTGCTTCTTGTGCAATTCTACAAAGCTGTTCTTCCTCTCTGCATGTTCTCTCTACCCTTTTCATTCTTCTTTTCTTCACTGTTCACCTCTTTAACAGATAGTAGTATAATGCTGACCACTATTGTTTTTCTTTTCTTTACTTTGTCTACATGTATCATTTGAGGTAGACGATTGTGGAAGATAAATGCCTGCTTTTACTTTGTTTCAGCTACACCAGAAACTTCCAGTTAATTTAAAGGATGATTTAGTGAGACTGCTGTGTGCTAACCTTACCTTCTCTGAAAGTTCCTTCAGTTGACTGACATCTTTGCAGTAACCCTGAGCACGGTCAGTCAGTCCATCTGCTTGAACTATCTAGAAAGACCAATTTAACAGATTGTAAAATGTTTAGGATGTCACTGGCTGTTACAGAATACCTTGTTCCTTACCGTGCTAACATAATCTGTGTCTAATGAGATGTTCCTTTTCTTGTGGATACCCTGCAAACTTTGAGTCTGAAAAAAAAGTTGAGGCAATGTACCTTCTTGTGACTTTAATGTCATGGAACTCAGTAGACTAAGCAGTTCCCTTTTTGAAGATCATAATCCTTTCGAACTGATTTTTAGGATTGCTTCATTAAATCATGAGATGGTTTTGTAGTCTCCATCCTCGTAGAATTTTCAAGACCTGCTTGAATAAAACCCTGTATGATTTGGACTGACTTCATAGCTGAACCTGCTTTGAGCTGAAAGTTGGAACAGAGACTTTGTGAGGTCCCTTCTGACCTGAATTATCCTAGGATTATTCATTTATCTACATCCCACAGTCTGTGGTCATACATGTTGGATAATTGCTGAAACAAAGGATTTAATACTGATTTAATTGCTGTCATCTCCTTGGCAAATATTTTAAAAATATATTCATCTTTTCTTACTAAACAAGGGAATAATTTCCAGGACTTAAACTGTTCACTTAACAGTATAATACTTAATAAGTATAAAGAAATACTCATTTGTTAAGTCACAGCTGTTTGTCCAGTAGATTTTTAGTATGTGTATATCTTGTCTGATTTCAGAAATTATTTTTTACTTAAAAGGCGTAATTGATTTGAAATTGAATGTAGGAGTCATCATTTTATTTCATAAAGCAAGTACTGCACCTTATCTTACATGTTTGGTTTTTTTCTAAGACAGAACTGGTCTGATGCCAACCAAAAAGTTGGTGGAATGGCTGACATCTGATAATAGCTGATTCTCACAAAGATCCATTTTGAGTAAAAAGACTGGTAAAATAACTTCCAAAATGCATTTGGAGCCTTATGCTTATGGCCTTTTAGGTGAAGATCTAATATTTCATTAACAACTTCCTAGAAATTCAGTGTTCCTGTGGAATTTTTACAACTATTACTCATTTATAGAATACAGCTCTTGAAATTAAATCCGAAATGGAAACAAGTATTATGTTCTTAGGAATCTGTATTTAATGGCATGCATTAGCTGGGGAATAGTTTGTGTATGCTGTAGTGGACTTCTGGTATGTCTGTCTGGTGTCTCTGACAGATGTCATTTGCAAATACTGTAAGGTTGTGTTAATTTGAGCTAGTCTTAGTTATTGGCTGGGGTAAATTTTGAGTGCTCTCCTTTTTTCTGTTGTTTCCTGTAATCCAAAGTGACTGTTTTCATGGACAGGATGCATTGCTACAGGATTTTTGGAAGGCCTTTCTGGATCATACCACTGTTTTTGCAGTCATTTATCAAAAGGCAGATCATTTCTCAAAATGATTTTGTTCTGTCTTAGCAATACAAAACCAAAAAGAACAGTGTTGGGTATTTAGTGATTAAAATAGAATCCTTTTTATAAGTCTTCATCACTGCATGCAAGCAGTGAAGTACAAAAACCAATAAATGCGTGTTTCTAACTGGTAAGTAAATTTACTGGATCAAGTGTTCTGTTCTGCGGACAGCTATCAATGCAGAAATGTAGATGAAGCATAAAAGGTGTGATGTGGTTCATAAAATAAATGTGGTTTGCAGTCCACGTGAGAAAAGTATGCCTCATGTTTCGGAAATATTAATGTTTTCAGGGGGTTTAGATGACAGTAGTAACTGTTCCAAATACTTATTTGGAAACTTTTTCTTTTGGTTTGCAGTTGTCGAATCACCAATGTGAATGTGACCTTCAACATAACCCAGTCCAACTGTCCATCAATCACCAATATTTCGCATTTTCCACTAATCCACATCCCTCAGTACAACATCTGCATGTTTCTTGAACACCTGAGGGATGGTGACTCCACCACCTCCCTGGGCAGCCATTCCAATGCCTGATTACTCTTTCACAGAAGCTCTTCCTAACATGCAACCTGAACCTCCCCTGGTGCAACTAGAGGCCGTTCCTTCTCATTGTGTCACTAGTTACATGGAAGAGGAGGCCAACCCCCACCTCGCCACAATCTCCTTTCAGGGAGTTGAAGAGAGCAGTAAAGTCTCCCTCTTCTCCACTCTGAACAGTCCCAGCTCCTTCAGCCATTCGCTGGACCCCTCACAGCTTCACTGCCTTCTCTGTACACACTCCAGGGCCTCAATGTCTTGTAGTGAGGGCCCAAAACTGAACACAGTACCTGAGGTGCAGCCTCACCAGGGCTAAGTACAGAGGGACAAACACCTCCTGCTGTTCACAGGATGCTGTTTCTGACACAAGCCAGGATGACATGGACCTTCATGGCTACCTGGGCACACTGCTGGCTTGTGTTCAGCTGAGCATTGACCAACACCTCCAGATGCTTTCCCTCTGCAATCTTCCAGCCACTTTGCCCCAAGCATGTAGCATTGCCTTGCGTCACTGTACTCTGTTCAGCCTGGGAAATCTGGTCTTCAGTTTGTGCTGATTGCAGCATTTCTATTTACAAGATGTTCTCTATCTTACTTAATGTTGATAATCGTTATTTCAGTGCCATGTTGTTTATGGCATGTTTCTGTTTATCATGAAACTCAGATAAGCCTGTGAGATACTAGTAATGCCAAGCGTCTGATGTCTTAAAAATATGTTAGATTTATTTTGATGTATATGAACTCGGTGGCCTACCTTGCTGGGTTTTTCTTTCCGTCACTTTCTTGAAGCTTCCTAGTTCTTCAAAGAATTGACAAAACCTCAAAAGTAAGAAAATTCATCTGTTTCTCTTTAACGTTTACAGTATAGATATGATGGTTTTTTGTCATAAAAGTTTATGAAGGCAAGGTAACTGCTTAGAGTACACAGCATGTTTCTTTTTCTGTTTGTTTTCAGGTGCAGGTGGAAGTATCTGACTGTCTTTCATTCTTCACAGGGTTACACATCCTTCTGGAACGATTGCATCTCCTCAGGATTGCGTGGCTGCATGCTAATTGAACTTGCGTTGCGTGGACGTCTTCAGCTAGAGGCTTGTGGAATGAGGCGCAAAAGTCTGCTGACTAGAAAAGTAAGTGGAGTTGTGGTCAGTTTTGCTTCTGAGTTGTGTTTCAGACAGTGCAGTAGCTATAAATTACAATCAGTTGTAACAAAACAGGGTTTTTAATATCTGGTTAGAGGTTGAGTAGTGACTTAAGCTGCATGCATAGAGTTTAAACAGCGAGCTGAACTGCCTTGGGAAATTTTCTGTACTTGTTCACAGCTCCTGTTTGTTCTCATTGACATGTTCCTGCTGCACTTGGGAACCTTTCATAACCAGTTGGCAGTAGTGGTGGCCTGGGTGCCATGGCAGCAGTTGCTACTAGGAGCCAGCAAGCACCAGCTGTGATCTGCTGAAGGAACTGGCTCTTGCAGCATGAGCGAGATGTGGGCTGGGCCTGATAAAGACAACTCACTGGCAGTGTGCTAGATGCAGTTGTAATAGGAGATATCTCTGTGATTTGGTCCCTGGGAATGCTCAAATCTGTCTAGCTAAAATGGTTTTGGTCACTTATGTTTAAGATGGGTTTTAAGGTTCCTGATTGAATTAAGCTGAAGATTAGAAGCTTTAATTTATTCCTTCTGCTGCTGGATTTTTCCTTTACAAAATGTGCAAAAGTTCTTCGAAGAATTTTTTTTACTTCATCAGCTTTAGTGGATATTTCTAAAATAACTTTACTGAATGCGTGGTCAGATATTTCTATTCACCACAAATAAATTCTCTTTTGTGGGCTATTTCTCTATCAATATTATGCTTTGCTGATTTTTTTTTTCTTAAAGGAGAGCTTCCAAGTTCCCCAAACATCTCTCAGCTTCCCTCTTTACTGAAGAATTGAACCTCTGTTGAGGCAAACAGCTCCTACTTCTTTTAGGTTTATGTAAGCATATTCAGCACTTATTAGTTTGCACAATCTTTTTTCCCCCACAAAGCTTTTGGCTCCTTAGGCATTCAGGAATGTTCTTTAGCAGTTATTTTCTTTCTATGCAAACTTTGTCAGGTCTGCTTAACTGAAGTTTTAACTGTACTTTTTAGGAAAATAGAAAAATAACCTGCGCCATACCTTTACTGCAGCATACAAACCAAATTCTTGTATTCCTCCTTATTTTTAAGCATGTGATTTTGGGGTTTTGTTTGTCTGGTTTTTGACTGTTTTTTTTTTTTGTTGGTTGTTTGTTTGTTTTACATCTTTTAAGGAAAGCTGAAAGCTACGTAACGTTTTAATGCTTTATTCTTTCTGTTGTTGAACAAAACAACAAATCTAGAGATTGCTTTGCAGGCAGGAGAGTTCTTTGGAGAAGATTTAATATAAAATTCAAATGCAATTGATTTCTACCTAAGGAACTTCGTGCAAGTAGAATTCCTAACTACTGATACATAGTCTGGTGTTTCTTCTCTCCTTCACTTCTCTGTATAGAAATCGTTCTTGTATTGTTTCCTATGTTATTTCAAGTCTTGCAGTGTTTAATATTGTGTAGCTGTTCTGAGAAGTCGGTGCTCTGATTTGTAACTCAAACTCAAACCATGTTATCATTCCAGCCATGTTCTGAAGGGGAAAGCTTAACTTTCAGTTACGTCAGTTGGTGCTGCAGCTAAGAAGCGCAGTTCTGTCTTTGCAAGGAGGCTTTTTTTGAGTTTCCCTTTAGCTGTTAATACTGTTTGTGCAGCCTTATCAGGTAATCACTCTGTCTTAAAACTCATTCACTTCTCTGCTCAGTTAAATTTTTACTTGAATCATCGTCTTGATCTTGTCATCAGAGGTGGAACGCAAGCAATAAGCTGAGGGGGAACAGCAGGACTAGTCTTTTGGACAGTATGCAGGATCGTAACCGTGCTTAAATGCCAGATACAGATGAAACTAAGAAACTGGCAGAGAGGTGATGATGAACTTTAGGAAAAACTTCTGATAGCCACTGTGACTGGTCTCTGTGTTGGTATGTCCTAGCGAATTTGTCTGGAGAGTATATAGTCACTGTATTATTTCAGAGTTCTACCTACTGGTGTCACAAAGAAAGCTGAGGTTTGTATGTAAATAAAATAATTTCTAAGACTAATGGTTGTTGAAGATGGAAAATGGAATTTTGTGCTGCCTTTTACCCTTTCAGAAAGCAAAACCAATAATTACAGCTTTTTTTCTTGAAATGAAAGAAATCTCAGGAAATCCTTGGATTAACCTCTGTTTTATAATTGACAATTCTGAGCGATTCATGCATGAGTGATTTTTTTATTGTTATTACTAAAACTAAGTAATGAAGAGTTCACTCGGGAAATTAGTGCATGAGGTGCTTAATCTTCAGTGCTGCTTAATTGCAGAACGATGTTGTGGAAAATGCAAATTAAATACTTTATACTACTGAAATATTCTTAGTGGCTGACTAAGAGGCACATCCAGTATGTGATAAATTCCTGAAGAATTGGAGTAAAGAAAGATTTCTGCAATAGGTCTAAGGATCATAATCTCTGAGTAATCAGGTTTGTAGCTTCTTTACCTTTGTTCATCTATTAAAAAGAGGAAAAAATATTCCCCCATGTGGATACTTTGTCTTCTATGATGGTTCAATTCACAGCATGCCCAACTCACTCAATTTCCACTCTTCTTGTGCTTCAGTGACTCTGGAAAGAATTAACCAAAAGATATTAGTCAATAAATCTTTGTCCAAGAAGGCAGATTTGTGAGTAGAGGAAAAAGATCGTAGAGCTCCCCTTACTGCATGTCTCTGTGTGCTGAGAGAGCAAGAAGAAAAAATACTGTGGAATTGTAAAGCATAATTGTAAAATATATATATACACACATATATGTTGGATTTGTTTTGTTTTGTTTTTTTGAGGGGAGGATAATTGGAAGAATCTGTTTAGGGATCATTCTGTTTAGCAGAGAATTGAGAAGAGACAGTGCTCTGTTACCTGAGTGCCTTGCTGCAGAGATAAACTCAGGGGCAAAACCACCACATTTTGTGGCTTCACAAGGGCTCACAAGAGAGACCTGATAGAGTTGAATGGAAGATTGTACTCCTTGTAGCTTTCCTCTAAGTGCCTTTATGTTTAGGCTCATTCTGTCATCGTGAATCATGTGCTGACTACCTTCTTAAGCTTCCTTGCAGTGGTAATAAAAGGTTTCTTCACTCCATGTAATCAAGGGAAGCTGTTTTCTAAACTTCGTAGGAGATTTTCTATGTGTTGTTTTTTTTGCTGATCTTTAAAAAAAGGCATGAAAGGTTGCTATTAATAGAACACAGTGTAGCAACCAAAAACACTTGAAACTTGCTCTGATGTATTTAGAGAATAGAAACTTCCAGAAGTTCAGAAAAACATGGTGTGAAACTGGAAGAGATTTGATGACTTGGTGTGTGTGTGGTTAATGAGGTTTTTGAGTTAAGCTGTGCTACAGGCTTGTAAATCAGAAAGATGCACGTGTTGGGGTTTGTTTTCAGTAGGGTTTGTCTGGACTAAAATTAAACTCTAAACTCCTGATTGATACCCACTTTGCAAAAATATTTTGCATGATTTATTTTTATATCTAGGCAAATCTAATTCTTCTTAGCCTGTCATTGTTGACTGTTCCATTCTTGCTGATTTTATTCAAATTTCAAATTGAGTGTTTTATGCATGCTGTCTAAAATGGAAATGAAGTTCCAGAAATGACCTGATATCTATATAGAGATCTTTCCTGTGGTTTTCCTATTAACACAGCTTGGAATGAAATTTTCAGCTTGCTAAAGGACTTCCTTTTTGTTGATTCATTTGACTTGCAGCCTGCTGCTGGAGGGTTTTTTGTTTTGTTTTTTTTCTGTTCTGAATTACATAGTGATGCATTGAATCTTTCATGTGCTCCTGGTTTCTCATCCTGACTAAAATACTTGCATTTCTTTCTCATTTCACGTTGTTGTCTTTGGACATATCTCTGGTTAAGAATAATCTTGACATTACAGAGCTGTCCCACTTATTTTGTTTTGTTCATCTGCAGACTATGAAAACACAACTCCTCTGTAGCTTATAGTATGGATTGTTTGATTGACAGAGCTAAACTTGGGCTGTATTTCTTTGGAATACTTTAAGCTTTTTCTATGTGATAGCAGGCACCTTCTGACTATTGGGAAGCTTTACCCGAAAGTAACATTTCTTACCTGCTGCTTCTCCTGTAGATGTGGAATTGTTTTGATGTGGTTGAGTTTTTCTTTGTTTCCTGTTATTTCTTTACCTGCATATAAAGTGCCAACTGTGAAACAATTGCCAGATTTAATCATTTGCATAAGCAGCTTTGTATCTGGCAATTAGTCTTTTCCTGAAGAAATACTGTTGTGGGAAAGAGGAATATCTTCCTTATTAAATGCATTGACTCAGGTTACTTAAATCTGTATCTTTTCAGTTTCATGCTGTTGTCTTTTAACCAGAAAAGCTGGTATTAACGCATGGTTTATATAACTGCTTGTACTTTTAAATAAGCAGTTAGTCAAATTCTTATGCTTTGTTATGTTACTGTGAATGATTTTTTCCCCAGTGCTCTCTGGGGGAAATAATTCAATTAAATCATTTTAAAATTGACAAGCATTAATTCCTGTAGTGTGCAATACCAGTTTTTGTATGTATATAGTTTGCTTAACTGTTAGTGAATGGAAAGTAAAGTTTCTCATCAGTGTGTTCTGCAGAGCTGTAAAAATTACAGATGTTCTGTTGAGTTCATCGTTACCCAGTGATCTTTGAGAGAAGAAAACCTGCTTTTTTATTTTTCTAATTGATTTCTCAACTTTGTGTTGCCCAGTTAACTGCAGTTTGTTCAACTGGGTTGGAACAGTGAAGTAGACTGCCACCAGAGAACAGTTTAAAACTGTAGTGCATTTTTTGTTTTGAGGAGGAAAGGAAGGACCACCTTAGTGGTTTATCTTCCTTAAAATAAATAACAGTTAGTGTTAACACATGCTTAATAGCTATAGTTTTAGTTAATTAACTTTTGATAATAGATAACTGACTCAACACTTTTTTTTTTTGCAATTAAAATATTGAGCAGCCTTTTAATGAGATATTTTTAGAACTTGCATATTCATAACAAAAAATTTGTCACTTTTTGATTTCCCTTTGTTCTCATTACAAGTAGATTTTCTTCTTTTTTTTTTTTTGTTATTGGATGTTTGTGGTGTATGAATTAAGTGAAAATACTGTGTTTTATTCTGTTTTAGGTGATTTGCAAGTCTGATGCTCCTACAGGGGATGTTCTGCTTGATGAAGCTCTGAAACACATAAAAGAGACCCAGCCTCCTGAAACAGTACAAAATTGGATTGAACTGCTTAGTGGTAAGCCTTGGACATAATGTATTTGCTTTTTTTCTCCCCTCAATAAAGCTGGTTACTTGGAATCACTAGAGATTATACTGTTAAATTTTGGAGAAGAAATTATGCAAAAATTTAATTAGTCTGCCTTCTAGAGTAGTCTCTTGTTGATTGTAGCCTTTAATCAAATGTAAGTAACTGTTGCTTTCAACTTGGTACAGAAAGGATCTAGGTAGAAATGTCAGAGAACATCTCAGCTCTGCACTAAAATGTGTCTTCTGGTAATCTGAAGTGAATCAGGACTCTGCCCTGGAGCTATAACTATCTTTACTGTCTTTCTTTGTAACTGGAAATGAAAGCTACTGGAAGCCTGGAGCATGGTCATTTGGATTCAGTGCTCAGAACTTTGGATAAAAACTTAAGAAACTACCTGTAAGGTTGTAAAAATTGAGAGTGAAAATTCAGCCGTCAGTCATAAATAATAAAGATGAGTTCTTTATTACCTGGAGAAATGTAACAAATATTTTCAAACACTGCATCGCACTTCCAGTTGACCTAAATGAAGGGTTTGTGCACAAATCTTCATATAAAGCTAAACATTTTTTGCAAAACAAAAAAAAGGAGAGGAAATAAACATCAATTTGATTTCATCTTTACAATTGCAGTTAAAACTCTTCATATAACTCTCCAACAGTTGTAGCGTGTACTGGTTTTCTTGCTTTTTGTTTTTTGTTTTTTTTTCTGTAGCGGGAATTCTTTGCTAAGACTCACCTGTTTTTACAAAACACACAAAATGCAACTTTTCTGCAGAAGATCAGAGCTGTACTTCAACGATGTGAATAATGGAGGAAAAAATGAAAACCGTTTTGTCAAGAACATGGCTTTGGAAGGAAGGGGACTGTGAGACTTGGGATTGTTCACCTGAACCTGTTTGTTACTTGTAGAAACAGATGAGTTTCAAAACTGAGCAAAATCTTCTCCAGTTCTCTACTTCTTTGTGTTTATGTTCTTCCTGCACTACCTCAAAAAGCCTGCCTTGCTCTTCTGTGTTCTGCACAGTTCATATTCCGTTTTTTCCGTTCCTTCTTTCTAGTTCTAGTGTTGGTCAGTGGATAGAGAGAATGAGAGTTCTTGTCAGTAGGGGGCAGGGCTGCAGCACATCCCCACGATTTAGGCTGTTCTTGCTCAGCTCTCCTTCGCTTCTACAGCTTGTAAAGGCAGTTGTTTTCCTCTTCACAAATACTGATGTTTCACCTTATCAACATCAAGTTAGTACTGATTCAGAAAAGGTCATGTAGTTAATGAACTATCTTGTAGGTTTTCCTTGAGGCATGAGCCTCATAAACTTTGGCTCCAGGAAAATTATTATCATTAGTGCTTTGACTGAGACAGATCAGTATGTTTTGCTTGCACATGAGTATTTAATTACTGGTTCTTCAGTGGCATTAGGGTACTTTGCATTTCTCATAGTTGAGATCTGCCCTTTGAAGAATATATTAATGGATTCTTTACTCCGGAGCCTGATCCAGGGAAAATAGTTATTCCAGCCATTGTTATCAGAAGTGCAAGAATGCTGCTTCTGTTCCAGTGCATGCGAGTTCAAAGCCATTGTGGAAATCTTTATATGGATGTTGGAAGCTACATTTGCTGGGCTTATAAGCTAACCTCAAAGAGAGGCAAGTATACGGAATACAGAAGTTTGGGTCAAAAAGCCAAATCTCCCTGTAGAGGGGAAAAAAAAAAAAAAAAGCCGTCCATCTTTATTGGAATAAATGTGTAGTGGTAGAGGTTGGTCACAAGGTGTCACCACAGCACTAATTCTTACATCGCACAGCCACCTACCAGATTCAGGAGCAGCTAGGAAAAAATGTTCAAAAGGACAGTGCCTTTTTGGGAGGTGTTGGTGTGGGATAGTTTCATTCATGTTCAGGCTGGACAATCCCACAGCAGTAAGGAGTGGGACCTACAGGACTTCCTTTTACTACGCAGTTGGTGTCACCTCATTTGTTTACTTGACTTGGCTGTTACTTGCATACAGTTTGTGACCTTGCAACAAGTGGGAAAGGCTTAAATTCTTCTGTGTTTTTATTTATTATTACTGAAAATTAACCAAAAAATAGAAACACAGTGCTGTGGAAGTTGCCATATTGTTTATGGAAAAGCTATTTCTACATAAGAAATGTTCAATACTGTTTCTTTCCTCACTTGTAAAAGTGCAGTGGCTTTTTAATATCAGGAGGAGATCTTAATGCTGAAATACTGAGGTAAGCTGACCCTAAAGATATTAGGTGAAGTAAACTTCTAAACGGAGATGGATTTCTCAGTGCTTAACAACTTCAGTTTCATATGTAGCTGTTGACATTTTGTGCTTTAAAAATTCCCTTCTCTGAAGTGCATACATGTGCTCTGAAGTGCTCTTGAGAGGAGCAGAAATGGAGAGCATAAACTTGAGGAAATAGAAAAACCAGAGTCATGTAGGATAGCCACATATTAGCTGTCTTTATGGCAGAAAGAATGGCAGTGACAGTTCCTCCCATCTCTGAATTGGTAAATACTGGAAGCAGACAAATATGTTTTAACTTTTAATTAGCCCTGAAGAAGTCAGGCAACTGATCTAGACAGACTTGGAAAGTTCCTTCCAACCCAACTATTCTGTTCTAAATACACAAGGTTGGAGGAAGTGCTTTTTGAATTGTAAACGATAACTGTTTTTGGTATCTCTAGTAAAACTCCTTGTGGTTGTTCTTCATAAGTACAAGAGTGCTTATTTATCATATTCTTGGTCAAGACATGACCTAGCTAACACTGAATCCCAGCTATAAACATACCCTGAAACTCTTCAAATTTGTTCTCATGTTTTGTGTCCTTATCCATGTATCTGGATAGGTCAGAGATCAGAGAAGTGCTGACATGACCACAATATCTTACTGTAGTAGTCAGCTATATGAATTTGACAGCTCATTCTGCACCACAGGGAAGAAAATCACTGTAATAGTTCAGCTTAGTTTTTGCCTGACTAGCTTGTTTGTTTGTTTGTTTGTTTGTTTTTAGGTGAAACATGGAACCCGTTAAAGTTGCACTACCAGTTACGAAATGTCCGTGAACGGTTAGCTAAAAATCTAGTGGAAAAAGGTGTACTGACCACAGAGAAACAGAACTTCCTTCTTTTTGACATGACTACGCACCCGCTCACCAACAACAACATCAAACAGCGCCTCATCAAGAAGGTTCAGGAGGCGGTTCTTGACAAATGGGTGAATGACCCCCACCGCATGGACAAGCGCTTGCTGGCACTCGTTTATTTAGCCCATGCTTCAGATGTCCTGGAGAACGCTTTTGCCCCCCTTCTGGATGAGCAGTATGATTTAGCCACAAAGAGAGTGCGGCAGCTTCTGGATTTAGACCCTGAGGTTGAATGTATGAAAGCCAACACAAATGAGGTTCTGTGGGCTGTTGTAGCAGCTTTCACAAAATAACTGCAATCAGACTGAAGTGTTCTCTTTTCTTCCATGTAAACCAGTTGTTTCTCTTCTATTGACTATTCATATTTCCTGTAATTTGTACCTTCTCACATGATGAATCAGCTCTTGTTTAATGGGGATTATAAATGGTGTATTCCTTCCTTCTCTGTGCATTTGTATACAGGGTTCTGCTGGTACAAGAGAGCTTCCTGTTTAACACAACAACAGAAAAAGGTTTTACTGCCATATTGGCATTCCATTTCATGTTAAGTAGGAGTTATCTGAAGTACTTTGGTTACTCTATTTTTCATTTTATTGTTACTGAAGTGGTTTAACATGGAAAGCACCTCAAGGAAATGTGCATGCAATTGGATCACTAGTCTCAGCTGACACAGATGTGTGCATGCATCAGTACTTCTACAGTATGATTCATAGCAGATCAAAAAGGGCCTTTTAAATCACCAAAGCTCTATGTTGAAGTGTCTGTCAGGGCATTTTATACACAGACCTTTTTTTCAATTATGTCTAACAAAATTACTTTAAAAGCAGAAATTCCGTTAAGCAGCTTTGTCAGTGGTCCTGTGAAGATGCCCTATAAAGTTTTACTTTTCATGTAAGTCTCTCATGTACTTATACTTTCATTAGAATGATAGGTGAGTCAGAAGGCTAGTGTAGAAAGGTCCAGTTGTTTCATAAACCAGTTTGGGGATGGAATACATTCCATTATATTGTATATATAGTTCAAGTTGTATATTAACAACTGCCCCATCTTAGTATTTTGCAAGATCTATTTAGTTGTACGCCTGGTGCCCCTTACTTGCTGTCAGTTGTTGCCATTTGTTGGAAAGAAAGGCCTCTTATAAAGAGCATGTATGTGAAAGCTTTTTGTTTCCAGTGTCTACAGAGTTCACCATCCAGATATTCTCAGTCTATACATTGCCTTTGATAATTAGTGTACAGAAAGAGACCACTTTCTGTCATTAAGTGTTTGTTTTTCTTTCCCCCTCCTGTATGGAAGATGCTTGTGACCAGTACAGTTCTTGAATGCAGTTTTAATTTTGTTTGTATGCAAGTTAATGTTTGTCTAAGTGTCATAATCTATTTTACACTTTAAAACAAAGTCAGTCCTAGCAGGTATTGCATGTAGTGGTTTGCAAGTAATGACTGCAGTTTGGATGATTAAGATTTCTGCAGTGGGACACTCATTTTAATTTTTGTATACAATTATGCTGATTAGCACACTGCTGTGGGGGGGGGAAAAACAACAACAAATATTTACAACTTTGGCTTTTTAAAATTTATTGCCTCTTGACCACTCCTTGTTACATCTCCCACAGTTTTCACAATGTAAATATTATGCATTGAACAAATAAGTATTGGTTTATATAATTTTTTCCTCATAACGCAGATTTATAGTGGGGCTTACAGGTGTTTAGAAACGTTATTGGTTAATATTCAGAGCAAGAATACTAGATGGTGTATAACTGTAGAGTTGAAATTTAAGGGATCTCTTAATCTGTATACTAGCTTTTTACCTACAGTAAATAAACTATGATCTTGAAAGTGCCTGAAACAGAGCAAGCATGTCATTTTTTATTTTCTGTTGCTAATTAGAAAGGTTTTATTGCTTAACTGAGAGCGTTAGTTAATATCCTTCTTATTAGAAAGGATGAGTTTATACTGCATAGATCAGTGGCGTTGCAGCGTTCATGACAGAGACTGGCAGAGTTAGCTTGTGAGTGTGCAGCTGCGCCTGCCCAGGTAGGCCTCTTCTGTCATGAGCACAACGCAGCCTCATCTGTGACTGGACTACCAATTTTGCACTTCATTTCAAATTATTTAGATGCTTATTTCAAATTATTTAGTAGCTTAGTTTAAAACACAAATTCATGATTACATTTTTTAATAAGGATTTTAAAAACATGCTCCTTAACATTTAACACCACTCTGTTCATATCAGTACTTAAATGCTGTTTCTTCGGGGGGGGAAGGGAGGGGGAAAGATGAAACTATAAGAATATTATAAAGTATTTCAAACTCTGGTTTACAAATAAAAAGATAAACAGTGTTTTCTCAGTTGTAAGATGCTGTTCAGAACTTTGAGGACCTTGGGCATGAACTTGCAGCTTTAAGACAATTATTGTAAACATTTTCAAGCCTTGATTGTTGTAAGTGGAGGAAAAATGAAGGTTACTTCTATTTGACAGCTTACAGAATACTTTCTGTGCTTGGTAGTATTTGCTATTCCACTGCTTTCATTGTGTTGCTGGTGGTGTCTTCTTGTGTTTTGGAGCTCTTTGAGAGGAGAAAATAAATTAGTTGTAAGAGACAGAAAAACAGTTGAGCACTCAGAAGCTGGTTGAGTGCACAAAACTTCTAAAACAGCTTTGAAAAGCTGAAATGAAACATTTTGGCCTGATGACATCTTTTCATAATTCCTTTTCTGCCCTCTCACCTGTCATCTTCACTCCATACTTGTGTTCCTGCCATGTTTCACATTAGGTTGCCCCACATTCAGGGCTTTTGTCTGCCTTTGAGCCAGCATGTGTAAATATGTCACTCCTCTTTAACTGCCTCTGGAGAGAGGTAGTGTCCCATCCCCGTACATGCAGACAGGCAGATGTCAACTCCCTGCAGTACTTAGCACCTTGCTTTTCCTTCAAGGTAGAACCTGTGTGATGAGGGAACTTGTTACAGACGTTGGATAGGTCTGGTGTCAGTACTGAGTGGTTTGTGAAGAGCGGCAGTATCTTCTGCTAGGTTGCCTGATATGAAGTTGGGTATGTGGGGAAAATAGAAGAGCTTTGGAGTCTTCAAGTCCAAGTGCCACTAAACCTTAAGGCTAGCAATGATGGTAAGTTGGGTAGATTAATAGGGACTGCTTTGGCAAACAACCTTGCCTTTGTTACTGTATCAGGTTCTAATAAAATGGTTGAACGTGGAGACCGCTCTGTTTTGCTGAGATCCGGTACCCTTCTTCCTGATAGCTGCCACTGCAGCTGACTAATGTGGTTTTAAGGGAGTTTTGGCTGGTTGGGTTCCAACTCTCACTGGCTGCTTGAAGTGAAGGCTGCTAGCTGTATGCAGAAGAACTTGAACCTCAAGGGGGAAAATGTTATTCATGGACTCATTCTTTTAAAACACACTTCCATGTTAACATCAAAACAGGATTTTGAAGGATAAATCCACAAGTGATGTATACGTATGCAGTTACAGTCCTTGAGATTAACCTCCTCCGTTTCTAGAGATGACTACAGTGCTCCTATATGGGGTTTTAGTGAAAACTCTCATGCATGATGCTTTCAAGGTACAAGTTGCATAATTTGGCTACAAAAGACTGGTGACTGAGTGCTTGTGTTCATGCCCATTTCTCCTACAAAGTGAAGATATGTATTAATTGATGTGTTCTCTGTGAACTGAATCTGTACTCAATCAAAATAAAGCACCCTTTCAAGCTACCAACTGCAAGTAGTTAATGTGTATCACGTGCACGTCATACCCAAAGGATTTTTTATTCATTTGTTGGGCAGTTCATAAGTGTTAAGCTTTTGGTCTTCACCAGTTTGGGAAACAGAACTTCTCAGATTTCCATTACAGCATCAATTCTGTGTAAACTGGGCTTTTAGCACTTGGGCAGTCAGAGCCTGTTGTGTCTCTCCTTGCAGAGAAGTATGCATTTCTTGAGAACAACTCATTTATTCTGTAGCAATGCTTAGTATGTATATTGGCATAATTACTCAGGAAAAGAGTTGCAGCCAAGTGCTTTCTAAGTGTTAAACATTGAAGTGAGATTTCAGAGGACCTGGGGTAGGAAGGCAGGCTCTTTGGGTGGGGAAGAAGCAAGGACAGAATCACTGCCTGTGCTCATCTCTGGACAACATCTGGAGTTTCCTCCCATCAGTTCTTGTTTTCTCCTTTCTAGAGAGCAGCAACATGAACCCTGTGAAGAGCTGAAGAAGAAACACCTTCTGACTCGGAAGTGGGAGAAACTTGTGTACACAGTTATAACTGGCTTATACAACAGTGGAAGAAGTAGGGAAGGAAATACTGATGCATCGTAGCCTTTTTTTTTTTTTCTTCTTTTTTTTCTCCCCATAGCCTATCTGAACTTTAAGGCATTTTGCTGTTTCTAGTTTTTTTCTCTCTTGACTTTAGCACCTGGTCTTCTGTTCCTTTTCTGTGTATCTCAGTGACTTCCTCTTTTGTGCTCATAAGCAATCTGTACTGACTTCCAGCCTCAGATGTTGTCAGTCTTGCCTTTTCATTTTAACCTTTTATTATTGCTTTCAGATCTAGAGCCACCTTGAGCTCAGCTTTCCATCACCTTGTTGTCAGAACTGCTTTTGCCTCTTCTCTGGCTGATGGTTTGAGCAGGTTCCCCTCCAACAAATAGCTTGTCCGTTCTAGCTGCCTCTGTGGCCGAACTGAAATAGCTGGATTTCTGATACAGCTTATAAGGTACAATTTCATAAGATGAACAAAAAATTGATTTAATTTACATTGACACTGCTTGTTGCTCACTTCAACAGCAAGCTATTGTCCATGCAGCAGAGGGAAGACTTGCAGCTGAATAACGTGATTTTTGCCACTTCTGTAATGTAAGTAGATCTTGTTTCTGAGTCAGTGTTCCAAGGACTTGCTGTCTCCTTATTAAATTTCTCTTGTAGTGAGGATGTAGACAAGATTCCTCCTTTTTTACTTTTTCCCTCAGTAGATGGTAGGAGAAGCCTTCAGCAGCCTATTGTAAAAAGTGGTAGTATTCATAATCTTGCTTTGCCATTATCAGAGCATCTGTATGGGTCCTTCTTTATTTCCTGCCTTCTCAAATGGAATCATGTTAGGGCCAGCTTTTAAAATTCTGTTCTGACTTCTTAATTCCTTGAGGACCTCAGTCACTTCTGAAAGGTTTACCTAAGACATGTGTCGCAATGCTAAGCAGAACAACACCTACACACCACTAAAATCTCAGATCCTATGTTCAGAGGACTTGGAGAAGGAATTTAGTAAACCCAGGTCCTTTATCCATGCAGAAGTTCACAGTAACCCACCTCAACCACAGAGAAGTCAGCCTGATGGAGAAGTTGCATTGGTGCCTGAACAAAAACGGGTCAAAGAGGGCTTCCCCTCCTGCAAAGGCCCGAGGTTCCTGAGGCAGTTTATGCAATGTTCTTAGTGGCGTTTTGAAAAGACCTTCCATGGATGCACGCATTATTGCTCTTTGCCCACGCCCGTGTGAGAGTGGATTTGGTTGTGGGCCAGAGATGAGGAAGTCTCGCTGCCCCTGGTGGTGCAGTGCTGCTGCTGGTTCAGGCAGACTGTGAGCCGTGCCAGCCCTGCAACGGACCCAGGCATCTTCCACTGGAGCTTACTCTTACTGGGATCCCGTCCCTGTGCAGCAGGGAGAGGTTTAGGGCAGAAGTGTTTCTCTGAGCACAGCGGAGGAAGCTGGAGAGCTGTGCTTGAAGGGGTCTGGCCAAAGCACTGCTGGTCAGCACTCTGCAGATGTCTGGGGTGTGCTGGCTGCGTGGGAGAGGAACAGCGGCTGTTCACAGAAATTCCAGTCATCCAGGAAAGTGCCACGTCTGGGGAGTGAGTGGTTGTGCTTGACATGGGGAGCGTGTGTGACCTTCCATGAGTTGGAATACATACAAATAAAACAGGCTGGAATAAAATGAAATTATAAACACATTGGGAATAACAACTGAGGGCTGACTGTTGGATGTGTTGCAAGCAGGAAATGGAACTAAAATTGCTGCACTAATAAATTTCTTGCTGCAAATATGTTGTCTGATGTTAGGCACCAGCTCTGAGAGAAATCTAGCTGAAGATTTACACGCATTTTAGTATACCCAAGTCTGACACACTCTGCCAAAGGGATACTGGATCTCCTTTTTGTGGGCTGATGTGCAAGGGAATTTGTACACAGCGTTTACAGATAAGCATTTAAACTAACTTCTTACATTTGTTTCTTAGAGAAGGCAGTTTTCTTTTGATGTTGCTAAAGTAACCTCTTTTTTTCCCTTTCTTTTGTAGAGAATATGCTGCCAGGTTCGTGTATGGCCGTCTATCAGTGTAAGGTTTCAGTAAGCTGCAAGCTGCAGAGATACATGGTGTATTTTTGTTTACTCTTCACAGTGATGGAAAGAAGCACCCCTTGCTCATCTTTAATTGAAGTGTATCTTCAGAAGCAATCACTTAGAAGATAACTACAGGAATGAGCAGGCTGGTGACTATCCTGCTCTTAGCATGTCTTGCAGGCAATTTTTATCATCTGCATTAAAAAGAGTTCAGAAATCCAAGCATTCACCCCCAGGTGTTATGGTAATGGTGGGATTCAAGACTGCTCAGCCCTCAGCTCCTTTGCTGTGCAGTCAGATGACACCCAGCTCTTCCACCTATCTCTGGGCTCCCTGAGGCTTGCAGATGCGCCTCTGGCCAGCTTCAGATGAGCAGTCAACTGCCCAGGCTCCCCTCAAGCTGCTCTCCTCCAGGTTTGTCTCCTCTCCCATGAACATCCAACCTCAGCCTGCAGGTCTGTATGCAAGTTGCATGGGTGAATGCCATGGGTCCATC